GTCCTGAGCCACCGCGCCTGGCCTATAATGGGTTTATTTGGATGTAACCCCATCACAAGTCCAGGAGCACCTGTAATTCTCGAAACTCTCCAACAGTCTCTCAATATCATTTTCCACCTACTCACACCTGTGGGGTAATCCCTCTAGCTCATCTTTCTCCTGACGTCTTCTACCCTCTAGCTTGAAGGCCTACTGCCTAGCTGTTGGCCAGGGTCTCCTTCACCATCATTCTAGGGTCCCCTGGCCTCTCAGGCACAGCTTCCTCATTCTTTTTTTTTTCTCTCTAGACAGAGTCTTACTCTGTCACCCAGGATGGAGTACAATGGCACGATCTCAGCTCACTACAACCTCCACCTCCTGGGTTCAAGCAACTCTCCTGCCTCAGACTTAGTAGCTGGATTACAGGTGTTCGCCACCATGCCTGGCTAATTTTTTTGTATTTTTACTAGAGATGGGGTTTTCACCATGTTGGCCAGGCTGGTCTCAAACTCCTGACCTCAAGTGATCTGCCCACCTCAGCCTCCCAAAGTGCTGGGATTACAGGCATGAGCCACGCACCTGGCCTACAGCTTCCTCCTTCTTAGATTACTCTCTTGTTTGGGTGGAGGACTTCCTGAGAGAGGGAGCCTGACATGCAAACTATTTGTGATCTCTGTTTTCTGAAAATACTTTTTTACTGTACCACTCCTCCTGACTAATGGTTTGGGCTTAGATCTCTAGGCTGTAAATAATTCTCACTCAGAATTCTGAAGGCCTCGTTCCATTCTGCTCCAGCTTCCAGCACTGCTCCTGAGAAGCCTGCTGCCATTCTCATTCCTGATCCTTTGGATTGACCTGTTTTCTTTCTGGATCCTTTTAGGGTCTTTTCTTTATCCCTGGTTTTCTGCCAGTTCGTGATAACGAATCTTGAGATATAGATCTTATTTTCTCTCCCTGAGGATTTTATACATTTAAAAAGTTTTCTTCTCTCTGATCATATTAAAAGATTATGTGCTGAAGAGATGACTAGATGGATGGCCAGCCTGCTTGGGCAGAGCCTGATGAACGGGGCACTTCCCCGTGCAGGGTGGTTGCCCCTGAACTGCTCTTCCATTGAAGGCCCCAAATGCCTGTATCTATAGGTCTTCGCTTTGAGCCTGCTCAGTTTCTACAGAAAAGGGTTCTTTCATTTTCAGGTGGTGGTTGTGGAGTAGGGGGAGGGTTGGGAAGGGTGAAGCGGTGAGAAGTGTGCCCGCTCTGAGGTTATCTAGAAGCAGGGTGAGGAAAGGGGCTGAGAGTTTAAATTTTAGTATCTAGATTTCCTTTTGTTCCCCATATTTCCAGTTCTACATGCCATACCTGCACTTCTGCCGGATGTGCTGATCCAAATTCCCCAGGGAGTAAACCTCAGCTCTCCTTCAAGAGTGGGCAGGAGCACACAGCCCACTGCCCACCTGGGCCTCTCACCTGGCTCTCAGGCAGGCCCCACACTCCTGCCACTCACAGCGCAGTCCTGTCTCCCAGCAGCTCCGCCTGCCTCTCTCCTCCCCTCTGCGGGATCAGGCCTCAGCTCCCTCCATGCCTCTGTGTGACTCACCACTCCTTCCTCTGCTTCCCACCTTCCAAAAATGTGGTGACATCCTCCGTCTGCTGCTGTCTCCTCTCCTATTCTCAGAGACCTCATCAGGTTTTTTTTTTAAATCTTTTTTTCTTAACTCTTTTTACTCCTGTGTAGTTGTTTTTAGTAGGGCTTGGGAGGGAGCAGACAGAGATTCACGAGAGACTCCTCTGCCCCGTTTAACCAGAAGTTCTTTTGCATCAGTTTTCACTCTGAAGCACTTTCAGGGGATACTTTCCAGGCCCTGTTCTGAAATCTTGCTTTCAGTCAACACAGTTGCTTTTTATTTTACTTTGGGGTAGATGTTTCTTCTTTTTTTTGAGACGGAGTTTCGCTCTTGTTACCCAGGCTGGAGCGCAATGGCGCGATCTCGGCTCACCGGAACCTCCGCCTCCGGGTTCAGGCAATTCTCCTGCCTCAGCCTCCTGAGTAGCTGGGATTACAGGCACGTGCCACCATGCCCAGCTAATTTTTTGTATTTTTAGTAGAGATGGGGTTTCACCATGTTGACCAGGATGGTCTCGATCTCTTGACCTCGTGATCCACCCGCCTCGGCCTCCGAAAGTGCTGGGATTACAGGCTTGAGCCACCGCGCCCGGCCCTGGGGTAGATGTTTCTTTATGGGAAGTGGATCAAAGTCTCAACACACACTTTGTTTAAAGGTATTGGTGAAATACTCTGGACCTTTTGAACAACAGCAACAAGACGCAAGTGTGCCTGTCTGCTTTTGTCTTGGAATAGGGGATGGAAAAGCTGGAGAGGCGCTTGGCAGCACGGCCTTTGCCCCAGTGCTCGAAAGTCTGGTCCATCTCCTGTGCGTGAATGAAAGCAATGGGAGCTGAAATATCATCTCCTTTGAATTCGCTGTGAGCCCCACTTCTCTGCTCTCCTGTGTTTACACATTACTGCTATTGTGTTGCATCTGCTGGTGGATCTCCTTTCATCTGCAGGCCACACAAACCCACTTCATGTAAAGCTGAGGACACTTTAGCAGTCATTCCTCTTATTGAAGAGCTCACAGTCTTAGAGAAGGATCACTGCCATTTCAGTGTGCTCTGTTGTGCCCTGATACAGAAAGCCCAGACAAGAGATGGCAGGAAAGCCAGGATGGGAGCCCATGTCAGGGAAAAATTAGCAGGAGAGTGAGTGGACCAGATGGATAGGGCTTTGAATGCCATACCAAGGTCTTTGGACTTTTCTGCAGGCAGTGGGGAGCCACCCAAGGATTTTGAGCAGGAGAGTAACATGAGATAAACTCTGCTTTCAGAAAATTAAGTTGGTCAGGCACTCATGCCTGTAATCCCAGCACTTTGGGAGGTCGAGGCTGGCAGATCACCTAAGGTCAGGAGTCGAGACCAGCCTGGCCAACATGGCAAAACCCCATCTCTACTAAAAATACAAAAATTAGTCAGGTGTGGCGTCAGCCGCCTATAGTTCCAGCTACTTGGGTGACTGCAACAGAAGAATTGCTTGAACTCTGGAGGCAGAGGTTGCAGTGAGCCAAGATTGCACCTTTGCACTCCAGCCTGGGCGACAGAGCAAGACCCTGTCTCTAAATAAATAAAAATACAAAAATTAGCTGGGTATGGTGGCAGGCGCCTGTAGTTCCAGCTACTTGGGAGGCTGAGGCAGGAGATTTGCTTGAACATGGGAGGTGGAGGTTGCAGTGAACCAAGATTGCACCACTGCAATCCAGCCTGGGCAACAGAGTGAAACTCTGTCTCAAAAAAAAAAAAAAAAGAAAGAAAGAAAAAGAAAAGAAAAATTAAGTTGATAGCTGTAGGTCAGAAGGTTCAGAGGGGAGAGGCTAGAGTCCAGGGGTCTCTAGATCAAATCACTGGGGGAGCTTTGTAAAAATCCACCCCCAGCCTCTGACCTTCAAGATTTTGTTTCAGGTGGTTTGAGGGAGGGGAACTAGGAATCTGCATTCTCAAAACATTCCACAGGTGCAGAGGCCATTGTGACAGGCTGCTAAAGGGGACCAGACCCCAAATATGGGGCTGAGAGTCCAGGGTAGGATAAGGGAAATAGGCTGTGGGAGGCTCCCCTGAGGGACTCCCATCTGGCCTCTGCCTGCTTGGGGGCGTCATGGGAAGAAGACATGAAGAAGACCATAAAACTGGGCCAGGAGAGCTGCCTGAAGACTGGTGCCTGGCCTGCAAGGCAATCTTAGAAGAAAATCAGATTTGGGATATGATGACATGGGACCTTCTGGGTGACAAAGGGGCCTGGGCTTGGGGGATGGTGAATCTGTGAGCGTCTGGCTCCTACTTATAGTGTTGGAGTATGTGGAACTGGGAAAGGAGACTGCCATTCACATTCCTCAGTCAAACATACGTAGACACATGCATGGACACAAACACAGCCCTCTTCTGCAGGAGTCAGAAAGGGTGATGGTTCAGAGACTGGGCTCTGTAATCCAGCAGCCCTGGATTGAAATCCTGTCTCTGGGCCGCACGAGGTGGCTCACGCCTGTAATCCCAACACTTTGGGAGGCTGAGGCGGATGAATCACAAGGTCAGGAGATAGAGACCATCCTGGTCAACATGGTGAAACCCCGTCTCTACTAAAAATACAAAAATTAGCTGTGCATGGCAGCACTTGCCTATAATCCCAGCTACTCAGGAGGCTGAGGCAGGAGAATCGCTTGAACTAGGGAGTCAGAGGTTGCAGTGAGCTGACATCGCACCACTGCACTCCAGTCTGGTGACAGAGCGAGACTCCATCTCAAAAAAAAAAAAAAAATCCTGTCTCTGTGGCTCTGGCTGAGTCACCTGTCCTCTGTGAGCAACAGCCTCCTCACCTATAGAAAGAAAATGTTGCCGGCAGTTAACTCAATATGGCTTCGTGATGACTTGATGAGATGCTGCATGCAGAGGCTGAGCACAGTGCCTGACACACAGGGAGACTCTGTATGGAAGCTCTAAGGGAAATACTAAAAAATGCAATCTCACTCCTGAAGCCAGAGAGCCATAAAGTATTTCATTCAGAGTGTAAGGAGGTAAGTCCACAGGAAGACATGAAGCCTTTCTTTTTCTTCTTCTTGTCCTTGTTCTTTTATTTTTTGATACAGAGTTTTGCTCTGTTGCCCAGACTGGAGTGCAATGGTGTGATTTTGGCTCACTGCAGCCTCCGCCTCTCAGGTTCAAACGATTCTCATACTTCAGCCTCCTGAGTAGCTGTAATTCATGCCCAGCTTGTTTTTTTGTATTTTTAGTAGAGATGGGATTTCACCATGTTGGCCAGGCTGGTCTCGAACTCCGGACCTCAAGTGATCTGCCTGCCTCCACCTCTCAAAGTGCTGGGATTACAGGCAAGAGCCACCATGCCTTGCCAGCACGAAGTCTTTCATCTGCTCCTACCCATTCTGTATGGCTTTCTCTGGGTGTGAGTTTGGTGAGTCTTTTGCCTTTGGTTTCTAGGACTCATAGAGAAATGACAGACCCTTCCTGCTGCATTTAATTGGAGAGGAGCACAGAGACCTGAGTTTATAATTATGACGTCTTAAATGTCAAGCCCTTCAGAAGTCTGCTGTTGCGCTCACTGTCACCCTGAACAGCCCTGGGAACCAAAACCCTGCAGCCACCTAGAGCATGACCTGAGTCTCTCAGGCAGGTTTCACCTGGCAAATCTGAGTGACAGTGACGTGCAGGCAGCTGGAAGACGCACAGTAAACCGAGGAGCCTGTGATGAGCTCAGAGGAGGTGAGTTGATGATCTGCTATTTATAGCCCCACTAAGAGGCTCTGGCGGCCAGCTCCATGTGAGGCTGGTTGGAAATGATGCCTTCGCAGAGCTGAGAGCACAAAATGAAATTGGTGATTCATGGGCAGCAGCCACTTGAAAATACGAACACTCCTGCGTCCCCGGCCCCACTGGCCTTTCACACCCATTTGGAAGCGTGTTGAGCAGAGCTGCTAGCCTGCTGCGTCCTAGTCTGCATGTGTTCGGGCAGTATGTGAGGACAGGCAGGTTCTGCCCCAACAAGGAGTCTGCAAAGGGCAGCAGTACCCCTGGGAGCGCTCTGAGAACCTCCGCCCACCCCCCAGAGAGCTCGGCTGGAACCCAGGGCAGGGCTGAGTAAGAGGCAAGCCCTGGGAGGACCTGCGGTCACAGAGAAAGGACACTTCCTGCTCCTGCCCTCTGTCTCCAGGGGCGACGCTGGCAACAGAGCAGCTTTCTGATGACGCTTGTTCTGCTGAACATACAAAAATGTGCGATGAGGAAACTCTTGCAGCTTGACATTCCCCCGACTTCCAATTCCACAGCCCAGCACCTGTCACCTGAAATAGCTATTGTTTATTTTTCTCAGTAACATCTTGGCTCGCAGGCCAACGACTACTTGGAGACCCCAACTCAACTCACCCTATGTGAGGAACGCACTGGAGATCTCTTAGTTCCTTGCAGCCAAACTGGATATAAAGGGCCAAGCCAAGATAAGGAGGCCAGCTGAGCTCTGAAGCCAGATTGTCTGGGTTCGGATTCTTTCTCTACACTCTCAGCCATGTGGCTTCCGTCAAATTGCCCTCTGAGATTCAGGTTTTCTCATTGGTGAAGTGGGGATAATTACAGAACCTACCTCACAGGGTTGTTGTGAAGGGTGACATGTGGATAGTGGCTAGCCCAGTGTCCAGCACTGGACAGACTGGATACTGGACACTGCTGCTGCTGCTTTTGCTGTTGAAGTTGTTTTTACCACTGGGTTTTTGTCCCTGTACTGATAGCACTCCTTTGCACACAGTCCATGGCACTGAGGTACCTCCTGGAGGTGGTGCCCTGAGGCCTCAGTGGAGACCCTCTGCCCATCACAAACACACCCCATATGAGGCTGCCCAGCATAGTGGACTTCACCCCAGGGCATCTCAGCCCCCTGCTTGACCGGCCCCTGACTTTACCCAGAAACCAAGCCTTTCCCCTGGTGCTGGGGCTGGGCCTTGCCGTGGGCTGACCACCCCGATGCTTCTGCTCGTCTATGTCCTGGGGTGGCCTTGGGGGCATTAACTGTCACCATCCAGTGGAGAGCTTCACCTGAGGGTCCCAGGTGCTAACTTGAGGTCTGTGGCCAGCAGGCAGCCACCTAGGGAGGGCCTGGATGACTGGCCGGATGGGCCACCTCTCCTACAGGCTGCACTTGCAGAAAAAGTGCTGATTCATAGAGACTCATGAGGCCTTGGCTATCTGTACATTCTCCTTCTCCAGCTGTCGGCCAAAACATAATTGTAGTTGTCACTTTGGCAGCGAGATGCTATGATGTGTCCTCTCTCCACAGCAGTGAGCTTTGGGGAGGTAGGAGGGATATGCAGCTGCTCCAGTGGAGAGAGCCATTCTGGAAAGCGATCTGTGTGAAGTGCACCCAGGTGCCGTCCCAGGAATGGTGTGAGCAGCAGGGTGAGGCCCTACATTAGAATGGGCACTTGTGTTGCCTGTGTCTGCATCTACAATAATGCAATTCTGATGACATCAGTGAATAACAGAGAGGCTGCCATTGAAATGAGGCATTGTTGGCAGCTATGGGGACTTGGAAAACAGCCATCAGGCTTATGCACAAGTCAGAATCCGTAGTGTGTGGGGTGAATAAGTGGTTAGACCATGGGGTACATGGTGTAGGGAGAGGGCGCCAGAGACGTAGCTAGGATCAGATTGAGAAGCAAGGGACTCGAAGACCAGGCCATGTGGCTTTGACTTGATCCTGGACATGGGAAAAGTGATGTGATCAGACGCATGATCTGGGGTCTGGGCTCAAGCATCCTCGAGGGGTGGCACTAAGGGTAAGGCTCCCCCTCCCCACAGCAGTTGGCAAGCAGCAGCTTGCTGCTTGGGAAGATGTTTACCCCTCTGGAGCATGAGTCCCACACTCAGAAGGTGCCTGAGACTGTGTAGGGTAAGCATGGGAAGGGCCAGTCCCAGCCAGAACAGCTGAGTGCACGCAGTGAGCAAGGGAATGCACCAGGCTCATGTCTTCCCTCTTCATCCGTTCTTCTTGGCCAGGAGTTCATTAATGAAGCCCCTGTGTGCAGATGTGCCAAATGTGAGGACTCCACCACTCAGGCCAAAGGTCAGGGAGGCTCCTGGGACTGAGAGATGAACCCGCTGCCTGTGGATGCAGCCTCCCTCCCCACTAAGGAAACAGCAGAGGCAAACATCCAAGCTTGCCTGATGGAGGAACTAGAAGAAAGATTCTATCCTTAATGTACTTAAATACTGATTTATAGGTTGGTTAATGGAGACAGAAGAATACTAAGTGTTGGGAGCTGTTACCAGTCAAGGACCCACCCATGAGCATGGAAGCCAGAGCATATCTGGACCATCATGTAAGTCAGGAGGAAGACACGATTCAATTGACAAAAATTTGTGTACCCGCCTCAGAAGTGCATTATGATGCAAGAAATGGTTTGGCAGTGACTCTCTCCTTTCAGCTGCAAGCCATCAAGGGCTGAATGCCTCTCCAGTTGCCAGGGGAGGAATGGCTTGTAGAGCGGATGTTCCCAGTCTGGCAGAATCTTCTACCAAGTGTTCCCTGAGTTGGGCTGCCAGGGGACAGGTGTTGAACAGTGAGGAAGTCCTCTCACCCGAGCAGCTTCTGATGCAAGAGGGGTGTTGTGGGTGTCTGGAACCCTAGGCCTGTGGGTGGAGCATGAACTTAGCCTCTTCCCTGAGAGTAGGCAGTATGTCATAACCACCTCTGGTTGCCCATGGCTGGTTTGGGGCAATATGCCAAGATGTAGCTTTGCCTATTTGGTTTGCTTTTTCCTTATAAATTTACAAAAGTTGTGCCAGGCGCAGTGACTCACGCCTGTATCCCAGTGCTTTGGGAAGCTGAGGTTGGTGGATCACCTGAGGTTGGGAGTTCAAGACCAGCCTGACCAACATGGAGAAACCCCGTCTCTACTAAAAATACAAAATTAGCCGGGTATGGTGGCACATGTCTGTAATCCCAGCTACTCTGGAGGCTGAGGCAGGAGAATCGCTTGCACCCGGGAGGCAGAGGTTGCAGTGAGCCAAGATGGCGCCCTTGCACTCCAGCCTGGGCAACAAGAGTGAAACTCTGTCTCAAAAATAAATTTATGGACCTAGTGCAATAGCTCACGCCTGTAATCCTGGCACTTTGGGAGGTAGAGTGGGTGGATCACCTGAGGTCAGGAGTTCAAGACTAGCCTGGCCAACATGGTGAAACATCGTCTCTACTAAAAATACAAAAATCAGCCGGGTGTGGTGGTATTCTTTGCATATAGTCCCAGCTACTCAGGAGGCTGAGGCAGGAGAATTGCTTGAACCCGAGAATCGGAGGTTTCAGTGAGCCAAGACTGTGCCACCGGACTCCAGCCTGGGTGACAGAGCGAGACTC